CGAATCGGCACGGGTCAACTTGGCCCACTTTTTAATTATTAATAATTAGGTTGGTGTCATCACTTTTTATTGTTATTATTGTAATTATTTATAAAACACACAGATTGACAGTTTCAGAACTAGCAGCAGACAGGCTGTATTTCTGACTCGTGGTAGGTTTAACCGTAAATTTAAATACCTTCAGTGTCAAACATTGTGTTGAAGTATACTGAGAGGAAGCTACTTAAGATCACCACCTTTTAATTGGTGTAACAAATTTTGAAATCGGACATTTAATCGCCCCAATCTAGCGATTTAAACACGGCTAAATGCAAGCGAAGGGAAACTAAGGGAAACAAGTCTTGCTTTTCACTCAATATACCTCGGTTATTTACTTAGTTCGACAGAGAGAGTTTACTATAGATATAAGACAAATAAATAACTTTTTTTTCTAAATCTACTTTATTTTGGCAGAAGTAGATCTACAATGTATAACTATATATATAATAATAAGATATTTCTTATTATTCATTTACCTTAACAACATGCAAAGCAAATAAAACGTTATAGATCTATATATTTTTGTAAAGTGGGCCAAGTTGACCCGTGCCGAGGTGACCCGTGCCGAGTTGGGTATAGGGCCGAGTTGACTCTTTTCTATTTGTGCAGTCTATGATAATTCCAATTTTATCATTAAAGTTTCCTACAGTAGAATCTACTCTTTATTATTTCACATAAGGATTTCACAGTTAAATTTATAGGAAATGTTTAATATCTTCTGATTCTCAATTACATACATTTGTAGCTGACACAATGGATTTTGATTAAACAGTTAAATGCTGCTCCAAGTAAGACCGGTGTACACAATGACACTGATTACTTTCTCTTTTCTTTCGACCGAAAATCGTTCTGTCAGACGGTTTACGGTAGATAAATTGGAGATGCCTCATAAATTTGTATAGAATATTTTAGCTAATAGGACATTTCGGACCATAGACATTTCGGACCAGACACTTCGGACCAGATTTTGGGACACTTCGGACCATATTTCGGGACACTTCGGACCAGACTTTTGGACATTTCGGACCATGTGTTGGACATTTCGGACCACGAGTTAGACACTTCGCCGTTCGGGCCATTGTTTTGGATATTTTGGACCAGATTAAATATTATTTTTTGATATTATGCATCAATTATTCTATACAGTAAACTAAAGAGTAGCAGTAGTATATATGAGACACCATGGAAGGATTCTACACCTATCCCGATTTAGATTTTATATATATTTTGCAACATATCTGAAGAAAATTAACGGGAAAAACAAAAACAATAAAAAAACAAGCAATGATTTGGTGACACATGTTTGCAAACAATTTATTATAAAGTATATACAAAAAGACATGACAAAATATAACTTTTTTTTCAGTTTGTAAGCTGTGTAAGTTAGGAAGATGAAATCAATTTCTACATTGTGTTATATTGCAGTCTGGACATCAAAGTTTTGACAATGAATCCATTTGTTTGTTGTTTATTGTTGATTAAAACTGTACTTTAATCGCATTCCAATCAAACCAATCAATTTAAATATAAATTTGTTGTCAAATTAGGTAAAAAATAACATATACTGTATAGAAAAAAGATAAAATAATAATGTTTAAGAAATGACAAACTTTATGTAAATTCGGTAGCGCTTTCAATGCTTTCTTTGCATATCTTTGACAGCCGAAACTTTAATAAACAATAAACATATAAACAAATGACGTATAGAAAATATATGTACAGTACAGTATTTTTTCTATAATTACTTTTTTACCCTATTTATTTTGTCTCTTCAAATAAACTTTCTATCATCTATTTATATGAACATCTGGAAATGAGAACCAATCATTGAACTGACAAATAATACATCCTTTTAAAAACAACTCATGGAAATGCATTTCATGCCGAATATACTTTTAAAAATCTCATTTTCAAAATGAATAACCTTACAAAATCCACAGATCCATACAATTAATGGATGAGTAAGAAAATGTGAAAATTACCGACGAATTCTTGAAAGTACCAATTTATTTATTATTCAATTGTCAAATGTGAAATAATTTACGTCATCTCATATATTGACAATTTATTAATGAAAAAAAAATCAAAAAAATCTACAAAACAGCAATTTTTTCTTCAAATTTATATGACACGGCATGTATAAACATGAAAAAACGCAATTTAGGCTAATTTCAAGTATTTTCATCATTTTCTGTTAACCCATTACGTCATATACACGCCTTTTAACGCCTTTTTCACCCCCCCCCCCCCTTTTGTTTGTCTCAAATGGTGAAAAAATGCCTTATTTACACCCAACACTTGTTTTTGTTTAAGAAATGTTGTTAAAAAAAGTGACCTTTTTATCGGCGCGGCCCGCCAACCAAAAGATACACCAGGGGGTTGCCAGAAGGGGGATGTGCTCCTTCTGTTTGGGGGGGGGGGGTTGAAGGGCGGGTCCCCCTCATCGCCAAGAAAAGTTTGGACTTGTGAGAGGCTATAAGTGACCCTAGATTGATCATAAGGTAACGTGTAACCAACGCTGAAAAGCATTTGACTCTATCTCAATCCATTGAGAAGTTGCAGCACTTTGAAATCAATTTTGATGGAAAAAATCAACGCAAAATAGTGATTTTTGGCAATTTTGAGATGTCCCCTCGTTGCCATGGTAACAGCAAATTTAAGCCTGAGCATGTTGTTGCAAGGGCAATGGTCCAGTCAACATTTGTGCCAAGTTTGATTAGTGTTGAAGCAGTTTTTATAGTATTAAGCAATTTGAACTTGTAACGGGAGACTTTTCAATGAAAACAGCCATTTTTCACAAAATGCTCATGAAGTAATGGGTTTAGGACTCGTAAATGATTTTTCAATTGTCTCGTCAGTGACCCAGTCTCCAGATGCTATGGATTGACAGAAAGAAATGTTAATACTTTGAATTATATATTTATAATGATTGAAGATTAACTTATATCTATTTATGAAATGTAGCAGATCCCTTTAGCAAGATTGGGCCATATTAACAATATTTAAATAATTCAACTGAAAATAGTCAAAAAATTAGTAAAATATCGTATCAATGGTCTTGGAAGTTCAACAAAATTGCTAGATTTGCATATAAATCCAAGTTAGTGTAAACGAAAACAATAGTACGAATCAAAACACATATTTTTTATCATAGAAGTATCACTTTCATTGAGAAAATCACTGTTTTATAATTTTCTTTTGCTCTGGTCATTTACGGTACAAATCAATCTTATTACTTTTATCTTATAATTGAACTGCAAAACAATGTACAGTATGTTTGCTAAAACAGATATTAAGTATCTAGATAAACTAAAATATCAAGATGCAATAAAAGTCATATCCCATTTAACTGAAACATCTATGAAAATGTTGTAAAGTTTTCAGAATGTATTTATTTAATTAAGGACAAATACTAGGTAGTTCTCACATATCTGCCCAAAAGAACTTTCTATCTTACAATTAATACAAGATACTCCAATATTATTGCGTTTACATCGATAAGCGTGGACTCAAAATTTCATATTCCTCGAATGAATATTCCAAAATTAATTTTACCATTTACGGGACAGTTCAGCCAGATACGGGACACGCCTGCTTTCATGTTTACTTCATTTTTGTGATTGAAGTTTAAGTTTAAATGTATTCGTTTATGAAAGTAAGTATCCATTGAACTTTATAATAGTCAAAACGTCTGAATACCAATTAAAGAATAAAAATTATGATTTTTAGAAGCTATCTGGAACTTAAAAATACAGTTCAGATGCGTATGTTTAAAAACATGGATAATTCTTTATTTTCGTGGAAGAATACTATTCCAACTATACCAACGTCCATTAACAAGTTGAAATAATTCAACAAATCTAACAGAATGAATCACAAGATAATGTGACAGACAGTGAGTCCTGTAAATGATAGGCTCGTAAATGTTGAAACTTTCTGTTTGACACGGGAATTTTATGAGAAATTGTTGAATGGTTTACATGAATGACAGATTATAAGCAAGACAAATATCCGCTTTAGATATCTGAAGTATTATAACATTGAAATTATTGAAAACATATTGTAAAACCATGGCTTTTAAGAGCCTCGTAAATAATTTCAATTGTAAAAGTTACGCATGTAAAATCCAAATTAACGTGAAATCCTTGAAAAATATGGTTGCACAGATACTCTTAATCTTCATATTTTATGTCAACTATATTACTGTAGACTTAATATTGCTATTGAAATAACAATTAATACGTTACCATGTATGCTTAACATTGTTTTGCACTTAAGATTCGTAAATAAATTCGACTTTGAAGACAAGCAATTCAAATTTGATTTTAAGAAATTTTATTTTCGTAATATCAAAAACAGTTTTATATGTCAAAATCTGCAATAGTAACGAAAATAAGCTGTGTTAACTGTTAACCACTACTTTTTGTACGAATTAAGATTGTTGAGACATGCCGTTTTTCGTATCCCTTCTTTGCAAAAGCAATGGTCACTAGCAAAATCTAATCAATAGGCCAGTAAACTTGCGCTCAAATTAAATCTTTGATGCAGTACCAATTGTGAAAACATTTTACAAGAATGTTCGGGCTCATATATCTCCACAATTTTTATAGAACATTGGAAGAAAGTATCATGGAATATAAAATTGCTTTTTTTTCAAAGAAGCACAATTAAAACGAAGTTATTCTTAGTTACTATGATTATAAGTGTGCTAATTGTCAAAAAGCATTAATTATTTAGAAGCAAAAGGTAATAATTGTCAAATGATTAACTTAATTATTGGAAACTTGAAGTAAAAATCGCTAAAACGATACAATAACGTATTTATATTTTTGTAAATACATTTCAATTTCTTACATGTTTCTGTATGGCACTGTATTTATTTAATAATTTAGATCAATAATATCCCATTTCATTAGCATTAGAATACACAAAATATAGTAGTATTTGACCTAAAATTTCGTCTAATTTACCTGTCGGTTCTTATTTTTTATGCATCCCATTAACCTGCTGAATTTGAAAATGGCGGACAGTAAATATTTGTGAACAATTTACAGGTAAACTAAAGTAAAATCTATTTATGTTAAGTAATCTAGATAAATGTTGTGGCCATAATGTGGAGAAACGAACATTTAAAGTTAATGTATATCACTTGAAAGCGATCATTCAATATTTTAAGTGAATTTTGTTTTGAAAATTTCAAACAGGTGAGTCATTTATTTTTGAGCAGCCATTTCCTGATTCTCAGATTCTGTTTTGAATATCCGATTTTATGGAAAGGGACTTAATGAATTAAATAACTATTCCTTTAGGTTGCATTTATGGTGCAGCTTTTAAATTGAAATTAAACCAGTGAATGAGTGCTTTCAAATTATTTACCTGTACACGTATTTTAACGGTATGTGGTGGGCTATTGAATGAATATGTCACCAGTTTTTAGCTTGAATCATTATATATTTTAATAATGTCTGTAATTTCACCCAAAGGCTTTCAGCATGTGGCAAAGATAATTTTAATGAAAAACATTTTAAAAAATCAGGCTGCTTTTAAATTTATTTTACTATTAACATATGATGTCTAACCCAGCAAACATGCATATATGGGACCCATATGGGCTATATCTAGGCAAGCCCATATGGGTATGCCCATATTGGACCTATATGGGACCAATATGGGAAAGTCCATTTGGGTACGCCCATATTGGACCCATATGGGTCCCATATTACAGCACTATAAGGAAAAACGATTTTTCGTTTATTTATTTATTTAGAACTTGTTTACTTTGAGCTATAGTGTGACCACCTTGGCATAAATTGCTATTATCTTTTATAAAAATTGTAGCATTAACATATATACAAGCCATGAGGGACCCATATGGGTCCCATTCGGGCAACCCAATAAATATTAGCATGCCTGAGCAGGTGCGAGAAATTAATTTGTTTAGTTTTTATATTGGTTTTTAATTTTTATAATCTAAATATAAAAATGTGTTTTTAGACTATTTATTCAGAAATAATTTATAAAAATCAGCATTTGATGAAAAATTTTATTTCGAGCATGCGCAGACGTGATTTCCGCTGCCGCTTAAAATCAAATTGTGTATTGAAACGTTAAATTGTAAAATTGAACACGAAAACAATATTTCATTTCAATTCGGAACAATTTAACGACGATTTCGTATAACGACCTTTCATATTATATCCTTACAGATTTATTGTGTGTGTAGGTAAGTGTAAACGTCATTTATTTTTTGTTTTTGCCTTTGCCATGTAATTTCGCGATAGTTTTTTTGTCAGTTTAATTTGCGACATTTTCTAGAATTTACGCCCACTATTAGGCACTTTTAGCAGACCTATGGATGTGTATAGTTGTTATTGTTGAATAACTTAACTGTGCCGGAGTCGACACTAACATTTTAATAATATTGTTTCTATCTAGTCTCTAGACTAAATTTTAAGAGATCCTTTTTTAAACGGACACCATCATTTGAAATCCAGTGACCCCTCCCTAGCCTTAGAAGTCCTTCCATTTTGTACCAATATTTCATTCATAAGCATTTTAAAATATTAAATGCAAATACTTATTATTACAAATTCAAGTATTTTTTCCTAGTCCAGTATATTAGACGTTACAGGCTTGTTATAGTTTTTGTCGGTCAAGCCTGTTGCTTTGCCCAGAAGCAAAAAATATCTCAAAGCGACGTCATATTTATAGGACTAATTTTTTCCAAGTACCAACCAAGCCCTATGTTTGCACAGGCACGAGTATCGGACCTGGGAAGAAAAAATATGACCCGATAGATAAATAAACCTGTGTTCATCTTTAAAAATCAAAAACCGAAAAAAATTGTAAATTATACCCCCCTTTAAAAACATACTTTAAGTTAAGAGAAGGCCAGAAACTCCAGATTCGAGCCTGCAAGCAAGGGATTCACTTCCCGGGCCGTTGTGAAAACAATTGTCCAGACAATTAAAAATATCTTTTATCACTTTCATGTTTGTATTATGCTTCCAAATGGGACCGACCCCAAGTATTAAGCCCTTCCCGTTCATGAAATATCTATCGGGGAAACAAATGCATTCGTGCTAAAAATCCTTGGTAGACAAAATTGCGGCACAACAATTCGGTACGTAAACATAGACTAGTACATGTTTGCCAGCCGATTACGGGTCATAATCATATTGACACTTGGCGCAATAACTCACTTAATGTATATGTATTTTATAATTACTTATTAATGTATTTTCATTTTATTGTAAATAGGCCATCAAAAAGGCTGTATGAATCAGATAGTGGCACTGATGAGAATGAGACAGACACAGAGAGTAGGCCACCACAAGTTATTGACCAAGCAACAACGCCCAAAGAGTCACAAAGCCTACTTTCATCTCCGCCTCGCTTATCTGCACAGGCATTGCGAGAGGCCAGCAGTGATGTGCAAAGTGCTTCTCCAATACAAGGTGCTTCTGATACACCCTTCCGTGGGCAGATTATTGGGCCCAGTAAGTATAAACTTCGGAGCTATAAATATATATTTATTATTACAGTACATACTTATTAAATGTTATATTCTCAAAACAAGTCAATAAATGTTATAACAAGCTGGATTGAGTGACACAGCCAAAAATGGAAAGTTTCACCTTGTGACGCCCCTAGTTCCAAAAATATTCAAAAGAAATTGATGATTACTTGTGTTAGTCTTTATTCATGATGTGAATTTGTGCGCATATTCTTGCCTGACCCCACTACTGTTATCCAAAGTTACGGTCCCTGGAAGAGTCAAGAATGTTTATTTTCAACAAATGACATGCGGTCATGCCTAGGCTCAAAAATATGTTAAGTTTCATTCATGATTTCTTATCATTTTCACATTTTGTGACCTTGCATACTCAACAATCCTTTTGAGATTTTAGCGTTAATTACTGTTAAAGCCAAGGAAAAATTTAAAATACTGGATTTTTTTCATTTGAGCCGGGTCATGACAAAACCAACATAATGGGTATGCGACCAGCATGGATCCAGACCAGCTTGCGCATCTGCGCAGTCTAATCAGGATCCATGCTGTTCGCTATCAGTTTCTCTACTTGTTATAGGGTTTGTAAGCGAACAGCATGGATCCTGATCAGACTGCATGATTGCGCAGGCTGGTCTGGATCCATGCTGATCGCAAACGCATTATGTTGGTTTTGTTCGTGACATGGCTCATTTGTAATTCACATAGCTCTAAAAGTATATGGCCTAGAATTATGAATCCTTTTTTTCAGCTGCTTTACACAGATTCTCCGAGTCTTGGAGACAATGCGAGAGAAGAATCGTGAAATTAAGAGGATGGTGCAGCGAATGCTGTTAAGTCAGCAGCAGATGACCAACCGCTGCAACTTCCGAAAGATATCTCATTCCCTATTCGTTATCCTGAGCAGATAGAAGCATTCGATGAGCTTCTGGGAGATCAGAAAATGCTCTCATCTGTGGTAAGCATAGTGTTAGTCATGTATGTTGCCTCCATTAGTAACTGAAAAAAAGTATACCCTATATCCACTGGCCTCTAAAAGCGAAATAACATAATGTCTGTGGTGAGCACTTGAATGATAATATATAATCATTCTGCTATATTTATGTTGGAAAAATATTGCACAGTGGACAAACACTTTGCTGCATTAATTTCAGAATTAAAAACTGGCATGTTTTAATTTTTTGATTCATATTTACACAGTTATGTTATTTATATATGCTATAATAGCATGAGCACAAGACATGGGCAGTTGGCCTCGTTTTCAACATTAATTATTAATTAGGACAAGACAGTCAATTCATTAATCAAAATGCTGGCAGCTTTCAAAAATACCAGGAAAATGACTAGTACCCACAAAATCCAGGAATTGAGCTGTTATTATATTATCAAATAATTATTCTGTTGATATTTGAATAATTCTTGTATTAAAAAAAACACAATGATAATGTGCCCCATAACACTCGGTGGAGGGGGCAAACATAAAGGCACAAGTCACTAAGGTGTTGTCCTAGGCTGTAAATATAAATGAGAAAAAATCTTTTTAATTTGTCAATCCAAACAGTTTTTCTTTGGCAGATCATGTTTTTTGAGGTCCAGTTGACAATTATTTGTCATTTGGTGACTTGCAGCCCATCACTTAGTAGTGTTAAAATAAACATTAAAAAAAGGTTTATGTTCTGCCTTTTATTTAAGGTGCGGTTCCTCTCAATGTTTGGTATGGCAGATGTACGGGAAACTGTTGACCGCTTGATGAAAGAAAACCATGTCAAATGAACTGGCAAGAATGTACAATATGAAGTGGCTGAAGGGGAAGAAAAGTTTGTGGGCCTCTAGATACTGAATGTATTGTATAGTAAAGTGATATTTTACAATTTGCAAAGTGTGTCTTCAAAATAGATATATTATCCAAGATCTTGTTATTGTGTCTTCGGGTATTGCTTTAATGAAGGAAAATGCTTGACTAGCTTTTATGGAAATTAATAAGAGAGAATATTTTACATGCTGTGTGGTTTTGATCCCATGCATTGTGTTGTGATGCATAATATAAACAGAATCACAATTCCTGTAAAGCAAGTTATTTGCTTACCTTAACATTTCTTTACTGATACACCGATAAGATGATCTCAGCTTACAAACTGACTGCAGCGATATCACAGAACTATTGTTAAAAGCTATGTAAAACCAGGAAACAAAACATCTATATTTGGTAAAACATACCAGAATTAGTTTATATTCCAATTTTATACTGCTCAAAATGCTACAAGGTGGCTTATGACCTTTGAATGGTTTCAATACCTTCATTTCACTTCATTTCATTCTTTAAGGATAAGAATGCTTTTTTTGTAGAATGTGTCCAAAGGAATTTGCCGACAAAGGCTGCAACGAGGAAAGGATGTTGAAATAGAGGTTTCAAAGTGGCTGGCTGGGGCGCGGGACCGCGATGGGGAAGGAAGGCAAGAAACAAAGTGTCAGAGACCTTACCTGAAGAAAATGAAGGAAGTGACTAGACATGTTTTTAATTTTAAAAATGCAAATTTATAGAGG